CAAGAATATATATACTTTATGGGGTCTGCGATGATTCCTTCTGCCTGTTACATACATTTTCACAAAAACATTATACATTAAATCTGAAGAATATTTGAAAATTTCTGTGCAATTTTTTTTTATAATACACCCTGTATCCTTTACAAATACAAATTGCAGGTATAATGTATAGCAGAACATATAGCAGCTCAGAATAAAAGCGGACCACTAGCAAATTATTTGACAGTCATAAATATAATTGTGCTTTTCATACCCATTGACAATGTGCAATGACGTATATCAACTCTTTCGAATTCCTGTCCAGCTAGACAGCCCGTTGGCTCAAGGTGTTTCCAAGATTTACTAACAGGCAACTGAAGCCAAATGGGGAAAGGTTTACTAAGGCCTCAATTATGCCCATGCAAACAGAACTCACTGAGGCGATTGTGAGAGGTGGTTGGGATATTGCTGGTGTCACAAATGCCAAAGGTGTAGACTGTGCTACTTTTATGTTGCAACTTCATTAAAATTGGTTTTTATGGCAATCGTAAAGTCATCTCAAAAAGCCACTTTGTGTTGTGAAAGAGGCATGGGCGGATAAAACGAAACAAAAGTCAAAAGTTCCAGATGGGCCGGTCAAAGGACGAGACGAGAAAAAAGGAGGCGTGGCAGTAGCGGTCGAGGACAACGCTACTTTTAATTACTTGCTGCATAAATTTGCACTCATTTTATTTTTTTTTAACGATCCAGAGTCGGGTCAGTTGACAGGCAGGCCGGATGTAAGGCTGCCTTGTTTGCCGTTAGTAGATTTTTCGCTTAATACCGCAAAATTTTGTTGTATGCTGTCAAAGGTTTCAGTATATGCGTATATCAACATTTATATAGAGTACACTCTAGTAGCACTCCTCCTATTTGTAGTCCTTATCTTTTTGTCGAAAATGAAAAAATTTTGTTAGCTTCGTGCGAGATTTCACTAACCTAACAAAATTATGCAAAACCGTTTCCAAGCATTACTCTGAACGAAATTCTACGCCGCTTTAAAATAGCTAACGGTACAACAAGGATTATACGTATGTGCGTGCTCTGAGATATTCTTAATAAGAGCACGTCATTTTTACGGTTGACTGTGCTCCCACAAGTTTTAGATGTGAAAAGATAAACGTCAAATGATTTGGCTGTGTGGGTTTTTGAGCAGGTCCTTTGCTATCCTGAAAACCACCGCTTTCACTCCTTCAATTTTTTCGCAATTGTGTAAAGCTGTGGCATCCTCTCCTCATCTGATCCCTATTGTCCACGAGTAGTGTAATGGCAAATAAATAAAATACATCACGCCAAACAAAATAATGAAAATACGTGACGGTGTGTATGCAGTGCCGGAGTTGATTGTTAGTCTACAATAATTGACTCTAATGTCATATTGCGCATTTTATGAAGCTAGGCGTGGCCGAACCCGGCGAATGACTAGCAAGAGACCCACCGAAAGTAAAAAGCTGAAATTGACAGTCATATGGCCTGACTGACAGTTGGGGTATAGGATATGTGGTGCCAGTGCCATACCATTCAATCAACTAAATGTCCCAGCCCAGTTCAAGCTTCATCATAGAGCAAACGCCAATTATATTTCGGTACCTTTGTTGATGGGGGCAGTCACACATAAGGGGTCAAGGGACTATCCTGGATGCCTTATCGCAATCAGTTTAGCTACGGAATGGAATTCCCTCTTAATTAAATGCGATTCACGAAACTGAACATCGAATTATGAAATGTGAATTGAAGAGCATGTCAACTACTCGAAGATACTCGTTGAAATAATTGAATTGTGTACAAAAGGATGTAACTATATAAATAAATAATATTATTAAATGCAAAAACAAATAGATCGATATACATATGAAGGAATACTTCGAAGACCCTATATACATACATATATAAATATATGTATATGCCCGGAACTCGCACTCTGCTGTGCGTAGAAATCGCCCATAGCTGCTCTGGCCTTGGCCGGTACTAAAATTCAGAGCAGAACTTAAGAGAATTGTGGTTTGTTGCCCAAATCAGAGATTAGCTCAGCTGGGCAGCAACAGCTTATCTTCTATAATGTTAATTGCCACTCAAGACTCTTGCAATACAGGTGTGTTAGTGCTTAATGTGATTTTTCTAAATGAGCTGACAGAAAGAAAATCGACAACGAATGCGGGCTAAGAATGTGAAGGTGAAGGAAAATGAATTTGACAGCTAATCCGTAATTGATCTGCTGAGCAGGGCCAGATGCAGCTTCAGCTGAGTCCTGCAAGTTAATCTACCATGGGGAAAGCAAGTTTACAAGTGATAGACATCCTGTTAGCTGCTTAAGGCTGAAAACAGAAAGTTCAGTCACAAAGAGTATATGATTGCTATCATATAAAGAAAATATTCAAAAGATACGTGCTTTTAGGATTTTATGATCTTGTGCTATAGGTAGACCTTGTTATGCCAATTTGAAACTCCACGTGTTATATCATAAGATAATCCAAATCAGCAAAAGTTTACAATTATATAGTATATAATGTTGTTGTGTAGTAAGGAAATATTTTTACATCATATAAAATTGTCTAAATTACCATATAGCCAATACGTCATCATATGCAGGGTATTAAAAGCAAAGCGTCAACGTAGAATTCGAGCTTTCCATGCATTGGTCAATCCAAGTGAGTAGGGTAACCTATCTGCATTAATTTCAATTTCTGCCATAATAAAATGTGCCACACGACAAATGCCCTTGGATCCTTGCCTGACTCTTAAGGGTCAATAAAACAATAATACATAAACGCACAATAAAGGCTGAGAGCGCGTTAGAGAGAGAGGAGGTAATTGGGCGGGCACTTACCTTAAAAAAAAAAAGTGACCACATATCAGAAGCTGTCTTAAGTGGAAGACAGGGTAATATGTGTATTAGGTGGGCTTGTATTTGCTTACGAGTGTGTATGTGTGCGGGTGTCAAGCAGGCGACGAATTGCTTGCGTAGATTGCACAACAATGAGGTGTGGGGCGTTTCGTCTGTGTGTGTGTGGGGGGGGGGGGGGGGGAGTTTATGTGACAAGGGCACGTGTACATTCATAATATATGTATATGAGCATATTGTATTTCTAAATATACTTCTACGCCAGACAGCACACAGAGCATAAGATAATAGTACAAATAATAAAAAGAAAGTGTAGCATTAAAGTATAAAATAACAAGAGCAAGAACGACAACCCAAAGCACACACAGGGAGCAAGCTAAAAGGCAAAATTAAACAACGACTACAACAACAACGACGGCATAAAAGTGTGCATAAAAATGTCAGCCGCGGCCAACACGGACTACAATGCCGGCAGCAATAGAGAGTAGAGAGCATTATGCTTGCTACGTCAACATGCTGCTAGCTGCTGTATAAGCGCGTTGCGTCCATTGACATTTCAATTTAAATACTGCAGACAGCAGATATAAGCCACGCCATGGAGGACGTTAGCGGAACTGCTCCAGCACCAAAAAAGAGTACCTTGTCAGTGGATCGTGCCGCATTTCTTCTGCTGCGCGTGAAAAAAGCGTTCAAGAAGAAGAGACTGCAACGCAAGGACCGACAGTAAGTTGAAACCGTCCATTTGCCAAGCTTTTCATCACATTCCATCGTCACACACACTCTTCACCTTTCATGTTTCAGCTTCCGAATTGGTTTTTAATTTTCATTTTTACCTGAATTAAATTTTCCGGAGCACATTTTTGCTTTGGCCTTTTCGTTTTTCTTTTTTTTTTTTTTAACTCGAGACCTAGCAAGGATTTTCCTTATTAAGCCATTGCAAATCCAAGTGTATTGAAGTTATCGCATTTATCAAGTTTTTTCCAAAGCAGTGTCCAAAAAGGTAGTTCCCAGGCAAGATTAATTAAGGTAAAGTACCTAAGGTAAAGTACCTAAATTGTCATTTCAACGGGTTTTGGCACCAATCAGCAGTGTGTCAGCTTGAGGCAAACTTTGGCTACCGCAGCCACTTAAAAATACGTTCTTCCAATGGCTGTTTGAATCGGCTTTTTGCTAGTAGCGTCCTCGCCCAAAATGTTAGCTAACCAGATTGTGGTAAATGCGATAGACTTGTAACGCAGAGACAGTGCTGCTGCATGAGCGTGCAGTGCGTTACTAGCACTCATGTACATTCTATATGCGCTTATGATTTTGTGTTTATACCCAGGTGGATATTTGCATACAACACTTTTGAAATCAGGAAAAAATAAAACTTCATAAAAAGACCATTGGAGGAACCGGTCTACAATTTATATATGTATATATATATATATATATATATATATGGATATGTATAACGTTTCATATGTAGCTTTTATTCGATTTTTACTTTCACTCCGCTCACTGCTTCTTCATAATGAATATGCTTTTTTTGTTGGGTATTTACATGCTTAGCAATTTCGTAGCTTTTCGCCAGAGCTGATGTGAAAGAAGGACGAGGTTGAGAGTGCTGGGGGAGGAATGGGAGATTGAGGATAGAGGGCAGACTGTAAAATATTACAGCAGTCCAAGAAAAACTTAATTAGGCACAACGAAAATCAAGAAAATTTGGAACTAAAGCGGCGTCTGAGCGTGAAGCTTGTTAAAATACTTAAAGTTTTTGACAAGCTCATTAATGTGGCACGTCTCCAATCTTGCCTGCATCTACGCCCTCCTCCTGAAATGACGCGACTTGTGTTCATTATAGAACTTAAACACAAGTTAACCTGAAAATGGGCATAAAGTGTTTGTTTTTAATACTCTCTAGTTCGTAAGACCTATTTACCTACATATATATTATATATTAGAATATATATATGAAATATTTGTTATATTTTTATTTGTTAAATTAATAAATATCGCTAAACGTTTTCTCAGCTCTCAGTTTTGGGCCGATTATAGAATATTATTAGAATACAACTAGTATATATATTATGATTAACGGGAATATTAACTTAAAAGCTACTACCTATTCGAGAATAATTTTTTTTCGGTGTGCCCAGCATTTTTGGTTATTCTGGCTGCCGCTAAGACAGCTCTTCTTGATTTGATTACATGGCAACATTCGCTCTAATTATGCACGATCATGTAAACACAACTTCAAATGCAATTACACAACCAACCAACACATACCCACATCAACAGAAAGTGACACACTCGTAGGGGATAGATTGTTGAGCACACAGTGTGTATGCGTAGTTTGGCATACGAGGCATAACCTTCACCCTTCTTGTAGCTTACTTATTCAAAATGCGTATTAATATGTGTTTGCCTTTAAATATACTTGCGTGTGTTTAACCTGGAAAAATTTATATTTCATTCGAAAAACGTCTGGCCAACAAAAAACAAAAAGTGAATCAAACGCACGATGCTTATTCGGGTTTCTAGGATTGAGATATTATTAATGGTATTATATTAAATACTGCAACTTCTTTTCGAGCTTTGAACTGTGCCTTTAATTGTGCTTTGAACTATGGTCCAGTTTACTTTACAAACTACTAAAATTACCACGAATCAGTCTCCCATACTCGTCCTCATACTAATTTCCTTTTTTACCCATATATGTACATATGTTATCAAAATATTAGTCGCGTTCTACTTAAAGTATTTTCAAGTAACTTATTTCTAATACAAATAGGTGCCAAGGGCCACATTGTTTTGTTTGTGAGCCAATTATATAGATCATCCTCATACCGATTTCCTTTTTTACCCATATACATATCTTATCGAAATATTAGTCGCGTTCTAAGATTCTTAATATTATATGTACACATCGCGTGCCACCCCCACATGTGGAAATAATATTGGCACAAAGAAGCGATCCCCTAAAGCCCAACTGAATTTTAGGCACTATACGAATTTCTGTGAACACTATGTGTTGTGTGTGCGTGCTCGTGTAATGTTAGTGTGAGTGCGACAGCAGGTTTTTGACATTGTTTCCGCTACTGCTGTGACAAGGACGAACTCAAATTGCGAAAAAGTCGACGAAATGCACAAATGCGACTGTAACTCTTTGTACAGCGCCCACCGGGATAAATTGGGTTAAGAGTGTTTTAAGAGACGCTGAAAGGCGACTTACTGCAGCAGAGCTGTTGCCTCTCCAGGGCGCCACTTTAACCAAGCAGCTACCTCAAACTCGCGGGTGGTCAAATTTTTATTCACTCTGTGAATGAGTACACTTCTTGTCTTATTCAGTAGTGCTGCTGTCTGTTTATATGATGAATGATATTGAAGCTATTGCAATATTGAATATTGTTTATATGATGAATGATATTGAAGCTATTGCAATATTGAAATATTATAATTACATATACAAATTAATTATGCATGAAGTAAATAAGAGCTAATTCATTTTGCTGGTAGTTGAAAGCATGTTAGGTGTAATTTTTGAGCGTGTAATTATAGCGATCGTATACATGCGTGACAGTAGACATATGTATGTCTCTTATGGCATTTCCCACACAATTCAAAGTGCCAGAGATAGAGGCAAAGCCAGCATCGAGTGTCAGAAATTCAATCATACGTCAAGTTGAGCAATTCCTAAACGGGTTGACAGCGTACAGATGTTAAAAGATAAGGAGAGGAAGCGGAGGTTAGAAGGAGATACACGGCCCTATGGCGCTGACAGCTCCGTACATTTGGTATGCATGAAAACGATTCAAATGGGAATTGAATGTGGGAGGCGAAAAAAGGATTAAAAATCAGATTTGATTGTACACAATCACATGTAACTCGAAGCTGGCAAACTCCATTTCCCTCTCTTACTGCTCTGCAAGCATCATGCAAATGCAACTGAAATAAAAAGCAGCCGATGGCCCAATCACCCTATGTAATTGCACTTTCTTGCTGCTGCTTTAATTGGCATCTATAAATAATTGCATTGAGTTAATTTTCATTTCACTCTCTCACACTCATTCACACTCTGTTCCTCGCTGGCTCTATTCTCTCTCTCAACCAATTTTTTATCTTCCTTTTTCTCTCTCTCTCTCTCTCTTTCTTTGCAGGGCACAGCAGAATAGTAGCGGATGCATGGTCTTGGGTAGCAATGGACAACAGTCACGCAGCGGCAGCCGCAAATTTCCGCCGCCATTGTTGCGGTCACGCACCCTGCCCGCCATCATTGTACCAGGGCTTCCGGTTGTCTCACTGCACACAGATAAACAATCCTTTCACTTGGGTGTGTAATCTATTTAAAACTGATTGAGAAATATTTACCTTTAAAGATAAATCGTAAATCGAAAATCTCATTACTGTCACACCTGAAAGTAAACTAAAGTTAAATTTGAGGTTTTTTTTTTTGTATTTAGCATAGCAAGATACCTCTCAAAATTTATTGTAGACATATGAAACAACGTATACATTAGTCAATAAATAATCAACGTTTTAATTCCGGCAATTGGTAGGTATACACACATTCTATGAAAGTAAAGTTTCGGTTTCTAAATCTGCACTGACTTCAATCCACAATGCAACCAAAATAAAATATTAGAAACATTCAAACCAGTTCTTTAACACCATAACGGTGCGCATAATAGTATGCTAAGGATTTTTGCTTATTAGATGGTTTTTAAGGACGCAATATCCAGGATCATGAATTCAAGAAGCTACAGCAGCACTCTTGGATAACATGCAAACGTTCTGGGTGTGCGGTTCTGAACCATAAATGGTTTCATTTCTGCGAAAATTATTTCAATCCCTTTGTGAAGCTTTCAATTTTGAATTTTAATTGAATAATGCAACGTAATTACAGAAAGCACGCACACGCACACATCTCATGCATAATGAAATAGTCATAAATAATATTTGTTATATTGCTAAATTTGTATCCGTAGATTGTAAAAGCCGCAGTGGCAGCGCGAGTGGTCATCGTTGGTCTCTGCTCACACGCGGTGCGTGTGGTGGAACTAGTGGAGCTGGTGGTGGCGGTGGTGGTGGGGTTAGCAGCCATAACAACAACAATACCAATTTAAGCAACAACAATAACAACACGCTAATGGTGAAGTCATTGAATTTACCAAAAGATGATTGCAGTCTGATTTATCGGCGAAAATCGTCGGGCAGCTCGCCACACGCTCATGCCGCACATGCTGCTATACAACAGCATGTAGCACAACAACATTTGCACCTCTATCAGCAACATATTCCTGATAGTTCCACTTATCAGCTATCCGATGATTTTGAATGTCATGCGGATGGATCGCTTCAGCTTCGGTGAGTTAAGACCAAGATTTTTAAACAGAAACATCCTGATTGTTCACCAACTAATCACTTCACTTGACTTTTTACCACAGGATACCCTCGCCGCATTCCGCGGCACCATTACGCGGCTATCCGTGTCGCCTGGGTGGAAAAAAACGCACCACAGCATGCTCAGAGGCAACAACACCTATGGCTAGGGAGCACCATCATCTGCACGACTTTGCCACTGCCGAGAGCAGTGGCTCGGGTGCGCATACGACCTTCACACGGTTGGCCAAATTGCTGCATCAATCAAGATCCACTCTATTGCCACAGCCGCCGATGTTGCACGACGACAATTTCGGTATCGAAGCGGGGCGAGAGATACAACAGACGAACAGCAAATGTGTTTTAGGCCTCGGCGAGGATGCACCGCGTCGTTTGTCGTGGGAAAGGTGCGTATAGAATTTATGTGCCACTTGTAACATGCCAATCAGTTTCTGCTTTGGATGTACAGCAGTTGATGACCAAGAGTTAACCCAAATTATCTCTATATTATATTTAGAAGCACGCCGTTAAATTTGCTTTGTTTGTTAGGAGACTTTCCATTAGATATACATCTATGCTCGAAAAGGGTAGAAAAAGTAGTCAAAAATAGAGCATTTATAAATATACAAAAATATATTTACATATACAACTAATATAAATTCTAGTATCCTATGCCCACGTAAAATATCCCTTTTTTTCTGACAACTTCAAAAATTGCAAGAAATTTTTTTTTTTTTTTTTTCAATTTATGTTAGTAATGCCTTACACATGTGAAAGTAAGGTTCTTAGCTTTCGCTTCGTAGTAGGGTACGAAAGCTATATAGATAAAGGATTGCTCTTTCGAGCTCAGCGTAATAAATTTGTTGTTTGTTTTTGCTGTATTTACTGCTAAATTTAGACAAAGTTTCTGTGCTTGCTAGAAGAAAACAAAACACAACAGTAGCTTCAGTAGAAATAACAACAATTTAGTTGGCTGCAAGAGCTGAAACCAAAAGATATAAAGGCTGAGGAGTATTTCGCCTGACCCCAACGCTCTAAATTGTGAAGCATTATTCATGAGCCACAAAGTCTAACAAATTTTTTAAATAAAAACAAGAAAAACAATGGGTTCAGGGTATAAAAACAGTCTAGCGGCACTCAAAGTACTCCAACAGGTGGATGTGATTTGTAAAGACGATTTAGTGAATCGATCCAATCGTATTGTATAGGTTATAGGTATTTTCATGCGGCAAAGAATGGACGAGTCCAGGCAATAAAACTGTCATATTGAAGCTCCGCGGTTTATATGCTTAGCAAACTGACAGACAGTTCAGTATAAAGGAAAATTGCATGTAGGGCATGTGTTATACAAAAACCAGCCCGTCAGCGCTTGACCAAGGGCATAGCAATGGATCAGCGTCAGCGAGCTATGTAGCTTGCGCCCTCTGACTTGCATTTCAATGACAAGTTGGGATACCCGATTTGCTCGAATTTGTCGACATGACATAGGACGAGACAATAATGCAACATGGTAATGCTGCAAGTTTATGTTATGTAAAATGTCATATGAAGCGAATGAATGAGCCAAAATCGTGATAAGACGGTAGTATAGGCAATACTTTTTTTTTGTCCATCTAAGGTGGGGTTAATTAGTAGTGAATAGTACTGCCGAGGTCCACAGATACACACACAGTCTTTAATTAATAGCAAATCAACTTTTGTGTATTGTTATCCTAACTGTTTGTCACAGGAATAACGATGCGGTTTCAGATCCTCGTTCTAAAACTGCTAAAAATATAATTTTTCCGAATAACTACACGTCCAAAAACGTAACTATATATTCTTTTCATGCTACGCCAATTCCCAGCATCAGCTTCGACAGATGTTGCAGCTGTGGCAGAGACATACCTTTAGCTATAAAAGCTGTGTGTTGTATTATGTTAATGATAATGCTAATGTAACTAAGGCGGACCACGGACTGCAAAACTTGTCACAACCTGAGAAAATTGTATCTAATACACCGTATAGCTGAAGTAATTGCAAATAGTTTACAACTTGCAAAAGCAACAATTATTCGTCCCAGTCTTTGACAGTTACCTCAATCTTCCTCTATTACAGGCGTAAGGACAGCAGTGCGTTGCAGCGCTCGGCCAGCATTGATTCGTTTGCGGAAATTGTGTTTAGCGACCTGCCGCGGCCCTCCCTGGATGTACCACGCAGTGTGGTCGCCACGCCAACACCCTTTAGTAAGCGCCCATCGGCAAGCAGCCTGTATTCAACATGCAGTAGCATTGCGGCAGCTACGGCCGCCTCCGCACAGGTGCATGCTCAGCTGAATGTTAATTATGGCGACCTAACAGCATATTCGCATCAGCATCAAATTGCACAGCATCCAGGTAACTACAGCAGCGGTAGCAGCAGCACCGCCAATAGCCGACGCGAGAGCATGTTGAGTCCTTCCTCAACGCGACGCAACAAGCAAACCCGTATTATAAATGGTAAGTCAAGGGGGTGAACAGAAAGAGCAATGAAAGTGTAAATAGAGCGAGCACAACTTGAGCGGAGCACAAGCCAATTTACCAGCTCATCTTTTCCAGAACTAAGCTCTTGTTGACTTATTACAATTTTATGTGAGCCGAACACATCATGGTTACTCGTGACACGCTTATCATAAAAATTCGCATTTCAACTAAATATCAGAAAGGAAGCTTTGGTATTAATTTGCCTTTTTATTTTCAAATGGAATATTCGATCCATTTTTTTTTTTTTTTTTTTATTTATTTATTTATTTTTTTTTTTTAAATTAACATATCTGTTAGTTTTTCTTAGTGTTCAATAATTTATATCAGTACATTCAAGCGTATTCCCACCCACCCTCTCCCACGCTGATAGCTAGTTGCCTTAGGCTTATCAGCGACTTCCGCAAAGAAGCGGTTTTGATTTAAATATTTTCCTTTGTATATTTATTTTGTTTGAAGGCTAGTCCAGCCGCTTTGGTATCAAGAGCTCGTTTGCTCCGCTGCTATCGGAGAAAAATATAATAAGCTTAAGAGTAACGATCGTCAGCATTTTTTTTCTCGCTGCTCAACGCTACGAAATGGCAACTGCGACGTTAACGTTAAAGTCAACTGAGAGCGTCAACTAAGCAATTTGAGTGAAGCGGTAACCATTACGAGGTTCAGTCGTCCAAGACGTTGACGCTCCGGCTCTATCGCCGTCGCTGTCGCTGCGACTTCGGTTTCAGTTGACTAACGACTTCTGTTGGAAGCGCAGCGCGCGGTGCGCCGTCTTCGGGTCGAAATTACAATAGCAACAAATGAGAACCAATTCCATTGGTAAATTCCAATTGTTACACATGCTGTGTACATGCAGTATAAGGCGATCTGCAAAAGTTTTTTATATGTGAATCAAGCCTTTGATTAATAACATTTTTAGCTAAATAAAAATTCGCTTAAAAAAGAAAAAGAAATTATAAAAAACTCAACGCGTATTCGCGTATTTATTTCTGCTTCGTTGCGTTTGTGTGAGTATCTCCAACTACCTGTTTACAGACGCGTATGTGTGAGCGTATATGTATGTATGGGCTGAGGCAGGGAGAGAGAGAGAGAAAAAATCAAGAGCGCGCAACGACTAAGTTACCTGCCGACGCTATAGAGAGCGCTGTTAAAAAAAGAGAATGTTTCTGAGAGTGAGCGAAATTGAACGAATGATCGTCGTGCATTCGTTATTCTTGAAATTGGTTGTGTCAAAAACTGAACGTGTCGCTTTCGTTTTAAAAAGAAACGTTCAGCTAACCACCTACAACTACAAACACCCGCAGGGCAACATAAGTTTACTACCGACTCTGCTCTGTTTCTGCTACTGACTCTAGCTGCAAATGCAATTTTATTTTAAAGTTACGTGCCAGAAAACAGCAGTATAAGCAACTCCACAAATTTAACTGTAATTACCTTTCGTGTCCAATTGTTATTATTCACTCGAGGAGCTTGAATAAAATGTACAATGTTCACAACTGCAACTGCAGGGAAAGTGAATTGTTGCTTCTTAATTTTATCTTTTGTTTAGTAACTTTTTTGTTTTTTCATTGTGCGAGACGTACTTGGCTCAACTAATTTACTCACGGCTCTCTCACGCGACTAGCTCAGGCAACAACACCAGCGGAAGCATTAAGAGATGCGCCGCATCATCATCGCCTTCCCAAAAAGCGCTCTTTTTTAATGTTTAATGAAATTATTCGCAAAGTTACGAAATGAACACAGAAATTGTAATATTAATAATAAGTTAAAAAAAAAAAAAAGAAAAAGCATTGTGCACATAATTACCGACTAAGAGAGTTTGTCGTATATGTGATAATGTTACAGTACAACAATTGATATAAGTGACTTGCTGCAGAAAAGACAATATAGCAATGCTCAGGAGATTCCATATAGTGGCATCTCTTTCTCTCACCACATGCACAGATACATACATGTACTTATAGCTGTAAAAACCTATGCGCGTTGCTCACCGTGTTTTTTCGCTTTTCTTGATGTGTTGTGTGGTTGTTGTTTTTGCAGCAGTGTTCGGTTTTATTAAAGTTGTTTGTGTTGCAATTTGAAGTACGTCGCACGATGAACAGGTAAGCAAAACCATAACAAGCACACACTATACAGGTTGTGTTCAGCTTTCTGGCAAAAATATGCAACGCTATGAAAAAGTTGAATGGCTATGCTGCAATACGCTTTCGCAGATGCGTTTCTTACCCCCAACAAATTTATTCACATTTCCACTAAACCGCATCGATAATATGTTAGCAAATTACGGATTATCTCAACTTCTTTTTCGATTGTATTAATTAATATTAATAAAATGCTGATGGATACACATTGACTTATTTACAACGTATTTGTCCCACAAAATTTCCAAGTACTTAATTTAAAAATACGGGGTCCGAAAATGCGTGTCACGGTAATAAAAAATTCAATCCGCCGAAAAATAAATGCATGTTTAAAATAAAATGATAAATATGTTTATATATATTTCTGTATCACCTTAGATCCGAATCTATAAAATAAACCCCAAATTAAGTTAAAATATTTTAAAAAATTTTTTGTTGTTATTGCTATTAGATTTTCTGACAAGTGACAAGTGGTGATAAGCAAAAGTTTTTGATTTGATAAGTAAGCTTAAAGCCAACCAATCAATTGGAGTTGAATTATAATTATCATTATTGCAGTAGCACACACAAAATTACCTTCGACTTTGCAAATAATGATCACAAAGGTCAAAGGACCAGCAACAAATATTTCTTTCCTAGTTATTTTTCTTTCCTTTGTTGCCCTTCTGTGATTCCACAATTGTAACTAGTCTACTAGCATATTGAATTCTTCCTCCATTCTCTCTTTGAAACATTTCAATCAAATTGACATCCCAGGAAGCCACAAAGAAAGTTTATACAAATCGGCTGCTATTTACATCATTTTTAATGTCAGCCCACTGATCTTAGAAAATGTCTAGATGATGAACATATGAATGTCGGAATGGAATTAGACTACTGGTAAACGCAATATGGAATAAAACTTTGAATTAAAGACAATCATGCCCTTCCATTAAGAAAATGGTATATGTAAATATATATATTAATCGCCACAAGGGACAATACAAAACCAAACATAAACGCACGCAAAAACACGCAGTGTGGACTGACTACGGGAAATTAATTGTCAAAAAACTTTTTTCCCGTTTTGAATGTGTTCAGGGTAAAATAATCAAATAATAATAAAAGGACGCTACATTAATTTGCATTTCTGAATACAGAAAATTTCTGATTTGACTAATTAAACAAATAGAATGGATTCAAGCAAGATAACGTTTAAAAAACCACAATCAAGGGGCGAGCCAAACAAAAATTTATTAGACCGCAATCTCTGCATAAATGTCTATGTACAAATACATATAGATATATACATATGTACATATTTATATTCATAATGTCGGGTTACTCAAATTCAATTGGCGTTTCCGCTAAAGTTTACACAAGGCAGAGCCTTTAAAGGGGGTCCGCACTCACAATGCGATTTCATAAAATATGCTTTTTGCTCTCGGAGTAGCAATAGGGTGACTAAAAGAGACAGTTCCAACACTGTTAAGCAACATCTTTAGAATTGTACAGTAATATTTAAAGACGACTTTTTATTGAGGAAGCGACATATTTATTTAAATGAAGTCGTCGCCTGTCTTGAACCTAATTTTTTTTACAGCATACATTCCACATAAAATGCATAAACTTATCAGAGGATAGGATAGAAGGAAGAGTGAGGCTCTAAAGAGTTCTGGAAAAGAGCACTTGTCCATGGTAGTATCTTCTATCAACATTATTTATCCTTTATATTGACTATGTATTCTGATTTATGTCGAGCAATGCCAATTTAGAGATGTTTAAATTTCGAACTTGGCAACGATATGCAGCTGAGCCAAAATGTATTAAAGGTAGATACCAAAAAGCTTTAATTTAAGCTTTTAATCCTAAGAACTTTAATCTTGATAGTAACCAACTTCGTATATCTTCAATAATTTCACATATTTGATTATTTATCCATTAGCGTTAAGAAAGAGGGAAAGAGAAACAGATATAGACAATCATAAAGAGGGCAATCACGAACAAAATATCAGGAATTTCTTTGAAAAGACCATGCCCCACCGCAGGTACAATGATGGTATGAATATATTTTCAATGGCTCCAAAAAGTCAGATATTATAGTATTTTTAGTGTCTCCAAGAAGTATATATTCGCAAAGTGGTTATTCGCAATTGCTATCGATCAATGAGTTTATTTTTAATGTTAAAGATTTCAGCTTGCCATTCCTATTTTTTGAATATTTTATATTTATTTATATTCTATGAATATAAAAGGTTGAATACGATAACTGCTTGTAAAATAATTATATAAAGCAACTTTCCAAAAAAAATCGCGGATCAGTCGGAGATCAACACATGAATATTTCCAAGACAATTCAGCTAAACTCATTTAGGGGTTAGGCAGGGAGAAGGAAAGAGAGGGGAATAGAACAAGAGAGGCATGCAGAGAGTAAAGCGGACTACCTAGCTATATACATATACATCAACCCCGATGAATAATAACGACGTTGTGTACAACTCGCAACCTAACTGAATGAGAGAGGGACAGGGGCAGTGAAAAAGGGAAATATATGTATACCTGTATATGAGAAAGAGATGACAATAACTAACCGTAGAATGAAATGAAATCAAATCGAAAAACATCACAGTTTTCATTTTGCAACCGTGACGCACGCTACAGAATCTCGTGTAACTGACGAAGAAATATCGTTGAAATAGTTTAATTTTTATATGATTAAATAAAAACTTAAATGGAACGACGGCGTGCGTTGAGCTCCTATGCCAAACTTAAAGAGCAACAGCGGCAAAGCAAACAGGAACGGCTAGAAGAAAAGAACAGAGAGCATGATGAAAATCCTGATCAACAGCCATCATTGCGTCGCTCGCATTCGATGCGCGCTTCGTTACGACGCCTCAAAAGCAAGCTGCATAGTCCAGCCATACCGCTACAATCACCCTTTAAACTTCGACCGCATTTGCATCCGCGAAGTCGCAGCTGCAGAACCGTCAGCAAATTGAAGGCAGTTCAAGCGCTGTCCGTGTGGCATGAAATCGACAAAGTTGCCGTGCTGACAAAAAGCAAAAGCAAAACCATGATGCAGGAGCGTTTGCATGAGGATGACGCTCTTGCCATTAATCACCTCATGTCCGCACTGCCTGTTGGTGCAGCCCTCCCTCGCAAAGCCTGCAAACTGCTTCAAATACCTGAGAGCCACTCAGAAGCCACAACTGATACGGCAGAGAAATCTCACTCAGATCCAGTACAGACCGAGATCACGTGCTACGCCTCACAAGGCATCTATGGAACTACACGGATGCGCACGGCTACCATCCGAAAGCCGATGCCCCACCTAAACAGACGTAGGTGTCTAACTTTCGTCTGTAATTATTCATAACTAAAAAGTTAAATTGTATTTATGTCGGTTCATAATTACATTGTGTCTAACATGGAAAGTGGTTCATCGAACTCTTAGCGAGTGGGGCAAACAATTGCGTTGGTTACGTGTATTCGAGTGTTCAAGTTCAACTAATAATGAGAGATAGGCTTTTTTTTAAAAAAAAAAAAAAAAAAAAAAAAAAAAAAAAAAAAAAAAAAAAGTTGTTTGTAATATTTATGGATTTTCAGTGAATATTGTCAGTGTGAATACACACAACTTGTTTCCCAGCTGTATTTTATTCAATGAGAAGAGATGGGTACTATTGTGTTTTTACTACATACAAACATGTATAATGTCTACTTTATAGAATTACATTCAGAGAATTACTCTCAAATAACTTTGTATAACTGCATTCAGTATTGATTATAGCCAACGCATAAACATATGTATGGTTTATGTGGCTTCAAAGGGGATTATTAATGCCATTGAAACCATCTGCGACCAAGGCTGCGCCCAAATGGTCAGAATTACATAATTAAGTTTTAAACGAAAACAATTTTGTGGATGTGTTGTCTGATGTTGCAGATGCCACCAGAGCAACAATGATAGCGACTTCAATGATAATAACCACGTCCCCCAGAAGCTGCAGATGGGCAGCTGTTTGCGTTCGCCTGCGCATTTCATACGCCAAAAATCGTTTCACACGCTCAACGAGCTCACCAAGTTTTGCCACCTCAAAGCGCCGACTGCAACGGCAGAAGCGACATCGACGTGCATAGCACAACGCGGTCATTCTGTCAATGATGGTAAGCAAGTAGCACCGGCGATTCACTCAACCCACCCACATGACAATATACAAAATCGTATGTATATTACAGAATAAGAGTACATCCATGTAACAGTAAAAATCCGTGTCTAGTATAAAATCCCAGTTCCTATGCAGATTAAGTCGCATACGTTTCTCAAACACCTCAAGTCCTTTCTATAGTTTGATGGGTGTTTTATTGAGTGGGTCGTTGGATGGCTATCGGTGGTTGCTCGGGTGATACTTACGCTGCTTGATGGCCAGGGCAATCTAATCCAGCGGTGCTTGAGTAAATGCATCACACACATACATATACATAACACAATCTCAAATACTCGCACATCTGTAACACATTTTCATACACATAAACCCATACAGAATGCTGCAAAATTAATCAAAATTGGCTTCTGGTCATTCAACAAAATGAATAAAAACGAAAAGAAATATTTCGGTTTTATAATTCATCAATGACAATTGCGTTCAATTAACGATCTGCAGACATATATACAAAAGACATGTTTGTATATATATATTACTTCTATTGGTTTAGATTATTTACATTTGTATATATTCATTTATTTATGCATAACTCGTAATTAACCTTTCATTTTGATAAGATGTTTAATTTGAAATTTATAATTTTTATTCAAAACCCCATTCCTCAATTCTTAATTTGTGCACATAGACAACATTTTGCAAAACTCTAGTGAGGAAGAGGCTGTCAAACTACGCTTGAAGGAGTCCTTTGATCATCAGGTTAACAATATTCAGGATAGCTATCCCGGCTATCATCCTACCGCAAGTTTTCGCTGGTCGGAGCAACTTAACCAGCATGGAGCTGTAGCTAAACTCCGGACCGCCATTACATGTCACGCCCAGGATCTGCGCGAAATGGAATTCCTGCTGCCCCAACAGCAGCAGCAGGCTCAACCACAGTCCAGTCCTCAGCTGGTTATCTCTCGCTACTCCCAGAAGAGTGTGAAGAGTGCGAAGCTCCAGGACCAGCATGATGAGGATCAGAGACAGGACATTGATGAGAACGCATCAGCAAATGGACAACAGCAACAGTTATCGGTACATCGACTTCCCGTGCAGCTGCGGAATAAAATTGCTGGCAATACTCCACATCCGCGCGTCAGCAAAATGTCTAAAAAACAAGTGAAGCTTGCCCAGGCACAGCTAGACAAGCTCACTCAAAGCAATCTTCATTTGCATGGTAAACACACCTCTGCTCTGCTCGCTCTTTGCACTTCAAACTAATTAGTACCTCAAATACAAAGATTCTCAACTTGTTTCATATCCAACGTAATTATTCACACTTTGCTCTTTCACAGCTCTCTTCTCAGCGGTGGAGCATGGACATTTGGAGAAAGCACGAACCATACTCGAATCCACCGAAGTAGATGTCAATAGGTATGTCCGGGAAAATATATGAAAAAGGATAGCAAAAGCGGGATGTAATTAAGATGGTCAACAATGACCTGCCAAAGATATATTATCTGAAATATAGCTTAGGTTATACACTTATTAATTAATAAATAAAACCTGAGCAAGTGACTTTTCCCTCCTTCTTTAAGGATATTTCCAATCTTTATATTCTTCATTTCGTTTTCTCTGTTTTTGCTTAGATGATTTAGTTAATCAATATACATCGCTAAGTCCACCATTGTTTTCTGATTCATCACCACTTTATTTATTTATTTTATTTTTTTTTTTTTAATAGTTATTCAAATCATCAATATGTATTATTTCCGTATCCCACAGCACCAATATAGATGGCCTCTCAGCACTCGATGTGGCCGTTCTAAGCAACAATCGCTCCATGACCAAGATGTTGCTGCAGCATGGCGCTCTAGATGGCTCACAATGTAAGATAATATAAACTAAGTATATTTATTATTAACTAACTTGTTGCTATTATAACATGAACAGTTTCCGGGGATAGCATTGGCACCAAGCTGAACGGTCTGCTCAAAGACGCGGAGTCTCGTATTCATGATCTCAGTGGACCAGAAGGTCTTTGTACATCCGTCTTCAGCTCGCGCCCTTCAATATCTAGCATTATAATTGGTAATTATTGCCTACTTTCGACGTAAAAGGTAATTATTTGACTCTAATTTTGATTTCAGGCAATACGGGCTCCTCAGTGACCGGATGTACGGGCAACGAGGTGGACAAGCAGATTGGCATTTGGGAACGTAAAGTCAAGGGACTTCGTCGCTTGCTGCTAGGCTGGGACCAGGCCCGACCACCAGATGCTCCTGCCTCGTTTGTTGTCGATGTTACCGGTGACAATTCCATCAGTTTGCAAATACTCGAGCCTTTCGAGGGCGCCATCGCTACCAAATTTAAAGGTAAGAGGCGAAGGGTCCCCAGGGGTTTAGATCGTCATTTATTCACTCCTTATTCAACCAGTTCAATGGTCAACACGTGCCGACTTTGGTAACATTGTTGGCGAGCGTGAACTTCTCGAGTGGATTAGCTTTCACGGCACCATGGGCGCTCACTACCGCATAACAGGACTCACCCAAGGACGTCGCTACTTTTTACGCGGTGCCTGCGGTAATGTCAAGGGTTGGGGAAATTACCGCAATTCGGTACCTGCAAGCGTTGTGCCGTCAAGTGAGTATCTCGTATCAAAACAATGCACATCATATAGAAGCTCTTAGATAAAAACGTTTGTTAGCCGAAACCACAAATTTTGCACATCATTTTAATGTAAAAAAAAATGCTAAACGGTCAATGTACAGCACTATAATGTGCATTCGGGGATTCCCCGTTTCGCCTACAACATGTGAACATTGCTGGAAATAAAAATAAAAAGAATTTAAAATAGTAGAGAATTGTGTATTGGAAAATACACACATTTGAAAGTTATAATTGAATTCTAAACGTTTGATGTCGAAAAACCATCTACAAACAAGTAGATTCTAGTCGAGGCTACTCGACTAGGAGATACCCTGAACCCTCCAATCTGATATTCTAATCACTCTGCACTTCTTTTAAGCACACATACATACACACGCGCGTATTAGAATGCGCTCTGCGCAGTAAGCAGCGACTGCGCTTGGGCTGCGCAGCAGTTTGGGCAATATTATACGAATTTATTTGTAGAATAATTTTATTTCTAGACATACAATCTTAATGAAACTTTCAGGACTTAATCATAATGTTGAAATGTATTTCCATTCCAAAGCTCAAGTCTCTAGTATTTGAAATACACCTTTTACAAATTTACCGGTGAGAAGGTGGATATAACGGTGGAATTATATAAAAATCTGCGTGTTACTTGATATCAATAAAGTTTCAATTAGATATACATACATACATATTTGCATATGCACATGCGCTTAAGACAAATATATCCTTACTTACATACTTATTATCTTTTGAATAGCATGGCGTGACCTAGAAAATCGGGAGGATCGATTTTATGGACGTCAATACATGCTAGACAATCTGTTTACGGCTGTGCGTTTGGCTCGGCCCGCAGATGTGTCTGAGCTTACCCTGGATCCCAGCAACGTGCAGCGACGCAATCCCAAAAAGAAGACTACCATTAAGCAACTATTCTCTGTCACCTCTAAGTTTCAAAAGACGCTGCGACGGTAAGATAACACGGATTTGTAATTCCATAAGCCACTTATTGACTTTAATATATTTAAAAGTGGCATCTACTTCTCGTGCATTGTTCATTGTGATGACAAGGTGCTAGTCACCAGCGAGGATTTTCCGCCTGTTATCGAAATCGATGAGTCTTATCCGAGTGCCCTACACATGGACTACTACTGGCTAATGAAGGTGGCGTGCACATGGGAGGATGTGAAGTCCCTTCGTACAGACATGGAACGCAATCTCAGCTCACCCGTGCACTTTCGCACCAAGCTGCTGTCAGCCGTTTGCCAGATGCAATCTGCGCTAGGAATTACGGATCTCGGCCAATTGTATTATAAACCCCTTCGAGACACGCAAGGCACAGTGGTGCTCACCTGCATACAGTCGGTGAAGAGTCAGAAGGCTGTATCTATAATAAATTCACGCTGGCTACCCGTTAGCAAATTGCAAAAAAAATTAGGCGCTTTACACGAGGATTACACCATTAATGAGCTGCTTATATCAAGCATTGGGGATCAGATAGATTATCAACAGACAGCGATGCAACGACTTGATCCAGGCCTCTATTTGGGCTATTTGAAGATGCAATGCTCAATGGATCAAATTCAGGTAGTTGTGCCTGTGAAGACGCCTAATGTGCTGCCCCATTGCAAAGTTCGCGAGAACAGCCATGTTACCGCCGAGGAGTGGCAGGTACTGCATCGCATTAAAGATAGTAAATCAGTGCGACTACCTCTGGACTTCAGTACACCTAGCGATGGGAATGGCAATGGCAATGGCCAAGCCAACGAGGTGCAATGCCTTTTCCTACACGATCTCAGTACAGCAATGCATAAGCTGCTGGAAGGTATGAGCATTAAGCCAACGGAAGCTGCGACACATCGCCTCTACGATGTGGAAATAATTGAGCTTAGTCACGACATTAGCTTTCTTATTGTCTGCCCCTCGGCGGAGGCATCTTGCGCCGTACCCGGCCAGTCGGAGCTTCTCTTACAGCGCAATGAATTCGTCAGCCTGAGCATCCAGGCCTTCGAGATGATCCATCTTCGTACCTACCAGCCGGCCATAGTGCAAAAATATGCGCGACTCTCCTGCATCCTGGAGTTGGATACTGCCTTGGCCACCCATTCGCATCGCGAGGCCTTTTCTAGCAGCGAGTTGCAGGCGGCCAAGGAGCGACTAGCAACACTGCAGGATCTCAGCTCAAACCTCTCTCTCGTATGGAAAAGCGTGCGCTGGCTAATGGATGTCGTTGCATATGCTCGAAATAAGCACGCTCAACCAGCGTTAGCTATGCGTGAAATACTGAGCTTTGTCGAGGAGCAGGATAAGCAATTGTTGCAACTACCGCTTCGCGACTCCAGATTCAGCAAGACAGGTCGCGGCAGCTGGCCAGGTCCAGGTGTTAATGAGGATAATGACAAGCCAAACAGCAACCCAGAGCATTCTAAGTCCGAAACGAATCTGGGGCAGAGCGAACTGACACCCAGCTCCGCACAGGCTACATCCCTTAAGGTAGCTGACAAGCCGCCATCAAATGATCAGCACCAACAACAACAGTCCCAGTTACTCCAGGTGGGAGTCAGTGAATATACTGCTTCAACCTGTTCAGATGTTTCGCTACGTAAGAACAGCGGTGACTCTGTGAGCTCCGCGTATACGGCACGCAGCTCCACCTCCGAAGGCAGTAATTGTGTGTTCGCTTTGCCCCCTTCGCGATCCGATGATACGCTAGCGGATGCACTTCGTCATTCACAAGCAGCTGCAGCGGCACAACGTAAGCGCACCAGCTCCCACATTGGACCCCTTCCCACACCTCTCATCACCGTGCACTGCTCCAGTTCAGTGCCTTATCTAGCCGGCAGTATCTCTGCTTTTTCTGGAGATTTGGAACACAAGGCGCTGAAGCCATCAGCCGCGGAGTACAGGCTGAAGGCTGCATCCAGTGCCAATTTGCGTGAAGGTGCACTCTATTTGAAGAGCTCTCTGTCTGCCCTTCAGCCAGATTTAAAGCCTCTAAGCAGCAATGAATTAAATTCCATGGCTCCAAGCACCTCGAAAGTATCCTCAACCAAAAGTCTGGCACAGCAAAGCAGCGAGGAGGACACCGCCAGCTGTTCCAGCTTAAATACCGAACAAGCGATCGGTACTACAGGTGCGGGCATCATTCAGGTGTATACCGCCTACAACACAGGATTGGCCAGCGGAACAAGCCTCAAGCTTCATGTGACGCCGAAGACAACAGCTAGGGAGGTGATCAATTTGGTTGTCAAGCAGCTTAACATGGCCGCTGTGCTAAAGGGAAGTAAAGGTCCCATTTATAGTACCGATATGCTCGATAACTTCTGCCTTGTCGCAGTTATTGGCGCTCGAGAGCGATGCCTTCGAGATGACTTTAAGCCTCTTCAGCTGCAGAGTCCGTGGAAGAAGGGTCGCTTATATGTGAGACAAAAGCATGAGCTACTCGCAGCCATTGAGCATTCCAATCGTAAATCCCATTTGATTTAAGATCTAAAAGAGCAGCCATAGAAGTCGTAACTGCCCACCAAGAGTGTAAGCTTGGTATATCTACAAGTTTGTATATAAAATCTATGTGTATATATGTATATGCTATGATCAGTTATAGACCCTACCAACTACCAACTAGTGCAGATAAATATTACACTAAATCGTTTGCATAGTCTTCAATTTGATTTTTCAAGAGATTTAGTAGAAGGGAATAATTATAAAAATATATATAGCTTCATGACTCAGTATATAACACTCCCTATCCCTGCGAAACTAATAATAAACTATAACCAAAAAAATAACATAATTATATAATGCGTAAATGCCCTATTCGAACCCAAAATCTAAAAACTACTTTGAAATACTACTTTCTATATACTTCTATCTTTGAATGAACAATGCGATACAAGAAAAATTTCCTATTGAACCGCAGGATTAAAGAACTCAATCTTCGGTTCAAATCGAAAGCAAATGGCTTTTAACACAGTAAGCTTTGAGATATTGGTATGCCAACCAAAATGTGTACTTGTACACACGCCCATTTGCCCACAATGAGTATTATTGTTGGCTCTTTGATTTGGTGTTTGCTTTAATGGGTGTTCACTGTGCCCAACCAAGTTTGACGACCAATTCCCCAAATTAGACTGAATCACCTACATATATATGTTAAATGCGAAAATAGATGTGGAAGATACATATGGGTATTTGTTTTTTGTAATTATCTTGAAAACGCACCAACTAAAGTGCTAAGCAAATACAAAAAAAAAAAAAGAGCTATTTTATTTTGAATAATAATGCATTTTATAGATAATTACAAAAAAAAAAAATCAAGCGGTTCGCACGCTTCAAAAAGAAGACTTTTCTGAAAAAATACCCATATATCTAAGGAACTGTAATAAAATAGTATTATATATTAAGCAACTTAGCACACACAGACAATTACACCTACTCACACATACATATGTAAATATAGCGCAAAAATTGTTGTTAATTGTTTATAACTGCTTTAAATATAAGTGAAACAGATTACACCAATATTATAGACATACTTAACATAATGTATTTTTGTAGTTTAGCAAACTAAATGTTTTTATTGTATTTTTGTGGCAATTTTTTTGGTGCACACATTTTTTTAATATATAAATCTAAATGTTGAAGGAAACAAAAATTATAAAGAAAAAATATAAATAAATATATATACCATTAAATTGTAAACTCCCTTAATGTGCGTATTGTATGTGCTCTTTAAATAATTACTATGTTATTTCCAATTTGAATTAAATATTAATATAACATTAAGATTACTTTATAGATTGTAAAGCTGGTAAACGAAAAAATATATATTTTTTTTTGTATTTCAGAAAATAATAATTGAAAATATATATTAGCAATCCCATTGTTGTGTTTATAAAATGAAGCTTTTATCCCATAAAGGCAAGCTCTGTTGTCTTCTGTTAGTTTCCATTCCCTTGTAATGTGTTTATAAACATGGCTATTATACTACATACATAACTATATGTTCTTCAAATATTCTAAGTGTGAGTGTATTAGCTCATCCTATTTACTCTACTCGAATACACTCACATATCCAAATCGTCCAACATTATTATACTAGAAGTGCTACGGAATAAATTCCTAAACAAGAGTCCATTATGATATAATAATATAAATACGTATATACATATATCTTGTTATAAAAATATAGTTATGATAGTTCTGAAGCACTCAAGATGAGACCAACAAGAACAAAACCGAGAGAATTATGTACAAACATTTTTTGTAAAATTTTTTGATAAACTTTTTTTGGATTAACCAAAAAGCCCCAAATCAACGAACATGACTTGAAATTAGCTTGACCTAATAAGCCAATCCCAAATGCCCAATGCTCCATGTGGATATAAAGAAAAAAGATATTGCAACGAATTGTGTTAGTTAAAATTAGTTGTATTTGTTATTTAGTAAAGAATTAATGTACTTCAACAAAAATGAGTATAAAACCGCCGTCCGTTCCCCAAAAAGATTGTTTACAGACTAGAATAACTGTTTATGACGCAATCTAATTGTAAATTTACTTGATTAAGGTTTTAAATGTCGAATACGATTGTGTAGAACATATACTTATATTTATATAAACATATATTATATACACAAACATAAATAAATATATAATATAGTTAGTGTTCAGTAAACGTTTAATAGAATTGCTGAATAAAAGCAGCCTAGAGAAATGTCTTATCAAGTAAAACTCTATAATAAATTATATTATAAACGATGTAAAAATTCTATACAGCTCCGTGTATATTTTTGGTGTCCGTTAACTATATACAATTTCAATTTTAATACAAAATTCAAACATATTGAACAAATGAATATAGTAGAAGAATGTGAGAAAAGAAGAAAAGAAGAGTAAAGGCGATGAATAAGATGAAGAAAAATTATTCAATTAATTTAAATAAAGACTTCACAAATATTAATGGTGTTACAATGTTATTATGTATTAAAATAAAAAATGTATATATATTTGTATTTATATTTATTTATTATACCCTGAACCCATGGGAAATCAGGGTATGATGGTTTTGTGGAAAGTATGTAACAGGCAGTAGGAATCATCGCAGACCCCATAAAGTATATTCTTGATCAGGGCGACTGATCCTTCTGATCCTGAACCCATCGAAAATGGGAAATCAGGGTATAATGGTTTTCGTTTATATTTATATTTTATTTACCAGGTGGGCTTTGACTTAAACACATTGTTTTTATTAAAGAGTATATATATTTCAACTGTCCTTATTTTAACGGCTATAGTCGCCAATTTTTAAATGTAGACCCATATGCACTATTTAATTGTTTTTGTCTGGCAATCAAAAAATATAATTTATTGTCAAAATATGCATTCAATGGTTGTTTATTCGTTGATTTAGACATTTATTCTTCAATTGTTTGTTTATACATTGAAACCCATAGGTAATGGGAACTCAAGTTAAAAGCCTCGAGCTCAATTTTCACCTAATTATATAAATAACAAACAAAGCAAACCAAAATTGTATAGGCATCCTCAACATGATTTGCCTCAAATTTTTCACTGTCTTTTCCTTGCTAATTTATCCAACTATGCGTACTGCAAACAACGAAACTATCAAAACTATTTTCCTTACCATTCGGATGATACTGCACTAACAAAAACTCATTAGTTCATATGTAGTTAAATATATGTACATATGTACATGGGTATACATAATATGTACATATGTATATGTGTGTATGCATACTAAATTTATAGCTAATTATATGTACATGTATCGACATATGTATGTATTTATGTATATGCGAAAATGGCTTATGCAACTCTTATACTCACTTATCACTTGCAACCTCTGAAATAAGTTGCATTTCTTTACAGGCCCTTCGCCTGGAGCCGCACGACGCTAACACACAAAAGCACCCACGAAGATCGTTAAGTCAATATTTGCCTGACTCACGCGCTCATTATGTACATATATTGCGGGCTCCCTTCCGTTTTTAAGTTGGAAACGCAAGTCATGACGACATCGCAGTCGCTACAAACAGCGCAGCAGTAATTTTATTATAATGATATTGTTTTTAGACACTTGAAACTGTTGCGAAATTATTATACACATATACATGATTGTATGTGGACCTAAAAATGTACATACATTCATATAATGGACAATTATTGGTTTACTCATTTGCGTGTATGTAAGAAGGTACATACATACATTGTATGAACAAATGTCATTTCATTGGAATATTTGATGAATTCACCACAATACACACATATATACATGTGCATTCATATGCGCCTTCCCATACGTACATACATATTGGCAAGGTCGCCCATCCAGTATAGAGTCAAATAGACGGAATACATGCGCTACACCTCCTATGGCATTATAATTTATGACTGCTATAATGGTCAACTGATTGCTGGTTTAGCTTGGAATAAATTATTAGAGTTATTATTATTTGTAAGTATTTCGCTGTGTTTATCTTTTAACTCTTATGGCATATTGAAGTGTCGGCCGGTGGCACTTGTTCGACTTCCTATCAGATAGCATCTCAACAACAATATATTTAAAATACCTTTCTATGATGTGCGATTAGATGTTATTAATCTAAACTAAATGGCAAGCAGCAAAGCCACGTGATCAATACGAGACTACAGACTAGACATAAGCCTAGGCAAAGAGAACAAATGCGGAAAGTCTGCCGCAAGTCTCATATTACGATGACGATAACAACTGATGATTACAGTTGAAAATATTTGTATAAAACTCATGTATGTATATATTTATATTTATGATTATATTGTATTACAATTACACAAACCTGTTACCAGTTACAGAAACAATACAGCAATTTAGTGGTTTCAATTACTGTTTATAAAAAAAAAAAAAACAAGAAAGACAAGAAAAACTGTTCACAATCAAATCGTTTGAAGTATTCACTCACTGTTAGAGTATCACTCACTTCTGTTCTCATCTAGATCTTAGGTTTTGTATAACAAACAATAAATACAGTATTACATGTATATATATTATCAGAAGTTTGACTTAAATTTAGGTATTGTCAACCTTTCATTCCACTTCTAATTGTCAGTGCTCGACTGGGAGGCACCCACTATATAGCCCTTGGCAGTGAGGACGCTGCGACAGCGGACATGCACTTGGTAACGCAGAGACCAATCGATTGTATAGCCGGGGGCTAAGCATGCGAATTGTTCCTCAGCCAACAGAAGCTCCGGATCGCTGTGTGTATTAAGTACCAACTCATGATCGCGACAGAATTCATGCAGTTCGGCTGGTACTACGCAGCAGGTAGCCAGATTTACCTGTGCTATGGTGGGCACCACCTCAGCCGATTTGTATAACTTAGCCAAAGTCTTTGCATCGAGATCGGCAATGCCTAACTGTTTTATTTGCTGTTTAAGTGCGTATTTCTCCAAGCATTTATAGAGTAACTTCAGTTCTTCTATACCCTGCTCACCATTACGTGCACTCCAGCTGTTGGCCGCATCGCTAACGCTGGTGCTGCTTCCGCTCTCGCTTCCCTCAGAGCAGGGAGTTTTTGCTGTTGTGGCTAATGTAGTTGCGCTGGCAACGGTCAAAGCATTAGGATGGTAAGCGAGCACCACGTTGTCCACATGCGTCACATTGAGTATGTTGAGTAACGCTTCAACAGCCTGATTGATACACTCCGTCGAATATTTGTTGAGGAATATCTTTGCACCAATGCTAATCTCATTGCGTCCATTTTCTGTCAGTCGACTGTTCAGTTCCTGCGTAGCACAGAGCACGCGACCGTGCCGCTTGTCAATCTCAACAACCGCGCTCTCTGAATTTGGATTGTTGTGCAGGGTGATTTTCAATCCATCGTACAACTCTTCGTTTGACTTGCGCTGTCCAAGCTCATTATTAATGATATTACCCGTGCTGATGACCACGTTCTGGTAGTTTTTCGTTATTGTTGGTATCATATTGCTGTTGCTGCTCCCTCTTTTTCCAGCTAATAATCCCGTTTGTTGATAAGTGATTACCTGCGACTGCCCCGACTATCGCACTTGTCAGTCTCTGTTGCTATTTAGCCCCGAACGCCGTGTGCATCGGCACTTAAATACACTTTACACTAGCGATGTTAGCACAAATCATCGATTTATTTTGTTAAATCGATTACAAACAAATGCACCAATCATTTACACAATTATTTGATATCTTTACACCAAGCTAGCAAAAAATTAATCTTTATATTTCTTTTACTTTTTTTTAAATATTGTGAATTCACTTAATGTTGTTAATTCTATTTACTGCTGATTTTATAAATAAATATTTATCAGCACATGTATATTTATATCAATAAAATTGAATACGTATGTATTGAAATTATAAATTACGAACTCTTTTAACAATTAAATAAGACTACTTAATTTAAAAATATATTTGTATATTATATATTATTTATTATATATTATGTGTATACATTTTTATTGGTCTTTACCAACACTGGAACTAAATCCATAAAGTTAATTACACATCGGCGTATCGATAGCTTAGTTGATACTATTGAAATTTTGACAGGCCAAAGATTCGTGCATATCTATAGCTGTCGACTTGACTTTCAAACTACAGATAATTCGTCTGTCACATCAATGAACTAATCTAATAACTGTTACGGAAAATGACAATAAACATTACTTTTAATTAATAATTATTAAAATTGTTATTTTTCTATTTGCACACAGCAGTTGTTCCATCCTGATAAACAGGGTCGGCACATATGTAGCTCATAGAAGCGTTTTTATTGCCACGAATCGGACACTAGGTCATGCCTATGGTAGAACTAGATATTACATTGAATATGGCATTAAAAAGAAGAGTATCCTTAAAACTGGGAGTCATATATGGAACTTTCTGCACACAATAGATAGACGCAATATGTAGACCCCAGCATTACGCCCGGACTTGGACTTGAATGTATGTATGTATGTAGCTAATCATCGACAACGTGTGCACTCAATAATATTTAAATACATAGATTGCAGAATAGCGTATAGAAGATCAATGGATGACGCTAGCAACCGGCAGAATTGTTGGGACTGCAGGTACCATATGAGCCTCGGCTACGAAGTGACGCCAATGGTTATACCATCTTGCAAAGGCTCAAGCTCATACTCGGTGCTTTCCTCGTCCTCATAACTATTGGACAAGCAGGCGACGAGCTCACAAACTATGTACTTTACTTGCAGTGCGCTTTATACTCCATAATGCGTTTCAAGCTGTTTGCGCCACAGAACATTGCACCTTTGGATACTACAATGTATTCTTTAGCTTGTTTAATAATAAGCGCAAAAATAAGACAACAATTTTACATATACAAAATTTGTTTATTTAACTTAATTTGCATGAAAATACTTTTGCTATTCCAACGCCTTCTTTTGCTGACGCCTGTTTGTGTACATATTCTATGTCCATGTTGCCCTCGAAGAGCATATATATTTTTAAAGATATATGTATGTATATGTATGTAGCCACGAGTTGCACCAAGCCAATCGGAGTATGCTCAACGGAACGACTTCTAAAAAATGAACTAATTAACTAGTTCAATATTGTTATTAATTTAATTAAATCCAATTATATATCACTTAGCTTTATAGTAACGAGCATTGAAAATACCGTTGGCAGTTAAATATATTTAATATATTCTCAATATAATAATATAATAATTGATTAAATGAAAATACAATTTAAAGTAGCTAAAAAACTCTGTGCTGGCTCGATAACTGTTTGGTAGGTGCGGAGTATCGATGACAGCTATGGTATTTTTTTCTTTTTTGCGGACTCCAGTTGAAAACAATTCTTTTGTAAATTTAGTTATTAATTTTAAGTATATATGATTTCCTTTTTTCCCCTTATATTATTATTATTTTTTTTTTATTTAAAGATAAGAGCGTTTACTTTTCATTTCAGTTTTAAATAAACTTAAAACATGTATTACATTATTATTAAGAATAGTAATTCAGAACTAATAAACTTGCCAAACTTAAAAATTAGAATATATCTAAAGATATAATAACAGCAAGATAAGATACTAATTCAGTATTTAACAAAAATCCCAAATTCAGGAGAAATGTTTTCTTTTTATGTTTTTTTATTTAATTTAAAAAATTTTGTCAAAAATAAAGCATTTTGTTTACAATTAATAAACATATTCTGTTAAAATTAATCCATAATAATTATTTCACAAAGCCAAAGTTTTGTTTTTCAAATCGATTTGTTTACTAACGATTCACAAAGCCAAATTTTATTTTTTATATTATTCTCCACGTTTTTTCAATTTGATTCTTACGTTTTGTTGCGAACGTAAAACAATACCATATTCCAAAATTATGTCCTCTAGCTGGGTCACAGGAAAGAGTTTGAAGTTTCGCAATATAGAGACTAGTAGAACTTTAATCTCTAAAATAGCAAATTTTTGACCAATGCAATTACGTTGCCCAGCACTAAAAGGAACAAAGGAAAATGGATGAAGACTCAACGAATTTTCTTGCAAGAAACGTTCTGGCTGAAATTTAAAGGGGTTTGGAAAATGGCGGGGATCTCTCATTATATCAAACACGTGTATATTGATTTGAGTCCCCTTTGGCATAATTAAACCGTTAATAACTGTGTCTTCAGTACACACGCGCCCTAAAAAAGGAACTGGTGGAAAAAGGCGTAATGATTCCTTAATAACGCATTCGAGATAATCGAGCTCATTGAAATTGAAAACAAGCAGTTCATTATGATCTCTAGATAAATGCTGCAGCTCCTCAACACAACGATTTTGAACATCTTCATGAAGAGCTAACATAAGCAATGTAAAGATGAGACAGGTGGAAGTTGTGTCATATCCTTCAAACATGAATGTGTTTACTTCATCACAAATGCCTTGATGGTCAATTAAGCCCTCATTTTCTGCTTCCAATAGGGTATCTAGCATTGCATATCGTTGCTTTTTGCCAATGTCACTTTTGAATGCAATCTGTTGCTTGTTTTGACTTCGTTTACGCTTGATAATTCGGCTAGCGAAGTCGTGTGCCAACTTGAGATTTGTTGTGTGCTTTTTATAACTACCACAGAGATAAAATATTGGCAAAAGGTACATTAAGGGATTGCAAGTTCGTTCTACCATGACAGTCTCAAGGGCATGTATTGCCTCACGATATTGTGCGCCTTCTATCATATCATCAAGCTTTACACCGAGAGCAGTTTCTGTTAAAAGCAAACACAATATATGTTTATGTATATAATTTGAATTGGGATTTATGTATATGTATATAATATACGAACCGCAAACATTATTTAATGTAAACTGCGGAATAAGCTTACTAAGATCCACTTCGTTATCCATATTTCGATATAGAGTTTCGACAAGTTTATTGCATTCTTCCCTAAAATAATCTACCAATTAATACACTGAAATCTTTTTAAGCGGTAGATGCATATACTTGAAAATATCTAAGAACTCCTGTAGGATATTAAAATGAAAAGCAGGTGTCAACATCTTTCGTCTTATGTGCCACTTCCGATCTTAAAAGGTAAGAGCAATTAAATAAAAAAAAAAAAATAAAAATAATTATATAACTCTAAATCTCTAACCTGTACTAATAAGCAAACCATCTCCCATAAAGGGTCTTAGCAATTCGTACACAATATTTTTTGTTATCAACTTTGTACTTTGAAAGATTTCTTCGGCATCCTCAGCGCATACTACATTGTACATCGGGGCAAATAGAAAATACCAAAGATAGCTCCGTCCGTTGGCTTTAGTATAAGCATCACGGACAAAACGAAATAACATTGCTGTGGTAATCATATACCAATTTTAGTTAAATTTAATCAAAATTAATCACATAATAAGACTTACCCGGCGTCATCTTCAGTACATCAAAATTATTACCAAATCTTGTTTTACCCGGTAATATAACTACCTTGCCACTTAAAGGACTGCCATCCACGGTCTTAATGCGCTTAGCCAGGGAAAGAATATAGTATCTTCTGTCAATGTGTCGAAGTAGCGCCCACACTGCTACCAGTAGTACTGCATTTACAAGCAATGCAATCAACATTTCAGTAAGCTTTAACTTATGTTCGCGATCTATCAAAGTCCACCGTCCCCAACAGACTAATGAAACAATTTTAATAATTTACATTCCGACGCTGATAATGATAATCTCTGCCCTTTTTGTTTATTGACATGCTTCACTAAAAAAATAACAGAAATAATACAACAAAATGTCAGTATACTATACTGTACTGTTTAATTCTCGTTCACGGTCCAGAAAAATACGTATACATACATACAAATGTACATACATATTTTAAGAAAATAAATACATATGTATATTATTATAATTCACGCCCAGTGGGCGTAATTTATTTATTTTAAGCACCAAACATCAAGATACATACATATGTATGTATGTAAACAGCGGAGAAATGCTTAGCCCTCATGCAGGCAGACATTGTATTGGACACTTCACGAATTCCATGTAAATGTCAATTCATGCACAACAAGAACTAAGTGTGTACAATTTTCATTTTCAAAATCATTTATTTGATAGAGCTATAGAAATTACTCAGCCAGGACTGAGCAAATTATTAACATTACATCCATATGTTACTAGAGTGTGTAAAGAAATCAAAATGGCATAAATTAATTGTAAATAATATCACTGACCAAAAAACACATCGAAGAGACATGCAGAACAAATTTTTTCTACGTCCGTAAATCTGTCTGGCAGGTATCAACCAACTTAGTATTTGCTGGGCGCGGTATTTTTCGGCTCGGGCAATGAAAAGATAACATGACGAAATCAGTATGCTTTAGGCGCTCAAACGAAATGCTCCTGTTCTTTTATGAAACCGGTTTATACTCAATGTCCACATCAATACTAACATCGTTATCATCAGCTAGATGCGGGTAAAGTCGCTGTCGTTGCCAGTGTTGCGTTTTGGCCTATTTTCGGCCAGATCGGGCTTATTTTCGATTGAGGAAAACATTTGAGATTTGCGGATAGCGAAAAATCTGGCATATTTACGAATCGAGCTGTTGCTATAATTGACACTGTGCCTTTTGTAGCTGCTGTTGCTGCCTAGCAATTTTTTGACTCAATGGTATGGAATTAATGCCAACTTTTAGTGCATCAGCATAGAAATATTGATTTGCTCTGATACTTGTATTATAATCATTCACAAAAGTGAATTAGTATACTGGTTTTGTGCAATTTCCATATTGTCCGCCCGTCTGTCCGTATAAACGGAATTTTTTCGGAGCCCATAAAGCTAGAGACTTGAAATTTGGAACATATGCTTGTGTATATATATTCGATTTATAAAGTGTTAAATCTTTCCCGATCCGCTCACTAGGAATCATAATCGGATAAGACGGTATCTCGTAGAGTTTTTAAGAGAGAACGTTAAAATTTTGCACGTGAGCTAATGTTATGATTTGATAAAAATTATATGTTTACGCCTACTAGCGGCGTGGCAAATCCGACCTGAAGATATAGTGATTTATCAAATTATGCAATATTATGGCAGCTGCTGCTGTTGTTGTAGCTGTGGTTATTGTTTTTGCTGCTATGGCTGTTTCTTTGCCCTAACTGTCAGTTGCAATAGCTGTTGCTGCTGCTTAGGCGGTTGCTGCTTGGATAACAGCTTGACTGTTTTAACGTTGCTCAGGTGCCGATTAACAATCATCGCAGAAATTCCATCAATGTCACTCTTGTTGCGTGTCAATTTGTCCACCATTTTGTTGCTGATAACCCGTAGCTTCAGTTGCTTTCAACCTCCAAGCATCTTTAAAAGATTTACAGCTTTAACGATGTCATCATTAATTTGCATCACTATTCTTAGAATTGGCGCCCTCTGTTGGCGAATGACCAGCACCACAGCAGCACTGGCTTTTGCAGTCGCAGTTATTAACAGCAACAGAAGCTGTTGTGGCTTTACATGCAGCCTCAATAACATTATTGGTGTCATCACTATGTGCCATCAGTTTCATTGAACTTGGCGCCATCTGTTGGCGAGTGACCAGCACTAACAGCAGCTGCAGTTAAAGTTGTTGGCGTGACTTTACCGATAGCCGAGACAATAACCATCAGATTGGCAAATAGTGTCCGAATCTTGTGATCAGCTGTTCTGCCAGTAGCAGCCAAAATTTATAAATAAATAAATGAAAATAAACTAAATAAATAAAGAAAGAAAGGAAAAATTAATAAATAAGTAAATAAAAGAAAAAAAAGAATATATATATAAAATAATAATAAAATAAATAGACCGACTGCAAAAAAAAAGAAATAAATAAAAGAAAAAAAATAATAATGCAAAAAAAAAA